GCTGGCAAGATAATCTGTTTAATGTGTTTACACCAGCCAGCCAGCGAGCGAGCGAACGAACGGGCAGTGAAAATAATCAGACGCGTGGCTATCACAATTAAAGCTACAATCTCTTCTAACATCAGTATTTTATTTCAATTTCAAAGCCAAAAACCCAAAATATATATGTGTTTTGTGTAAAAAATATGCCATCCTGCGAACAACCGTTGGATCAAAGTCTACAAATTTATTTAAATGAAAAGCAAGTGCATTCTTTTTTTAATTTAGAATGCATACCAAAAGCATAATATTTTTCTTTCTCATAGTTTCTTGGCAGCACTAACAAAAATATTTTTTATGCCAATAGGAATTGTAAATTTATTTCTTAAACGTTTTATACTAAATTAATTTTTGTTTATATATATAAGCTAGAAAATCATTTTCAAATAAAAATATAAAAATATAAAACAATTGTCCACTTTTTCCAAGACAAGTGTTTTTTACAGCACAGATACGGAAAAAACAAACAACAAAGAAACATTAGACGAACAAAATTCTCTCTGAAATGTTCTTTATGTATTTTTCTAAATATTTTACTTTGTGCTTTTTGGAAAAATGCCAACAAATTTTGTTCATTACACTCAAACGAATTTCTCTTTTCTGTCGTTGTGTTTGTATAGAAAAATTTCACGCAGACACATGTATTTGTTTTAGTGTATCGGTCTTTTCTGAACACATATTTACATTTGTTTATCCAATCGCTGCTATTTGTCAATATTTCGGTGTGTGCATTTTTAAGTGAGAATGTATTTATAAAATTTTCAGAATTTTTTTTCATTTCAATACTAATGCTGCCATCTCTTAGAAACTATGGCCATGAAGTGAATAATTCAAAAAAACGTTAAACAAAGATGGCGCTGTTTTTATACCCTTCACCACACTGTGGTATAGGGTATTATGTCTTTGTGCATATGTTTGTAACAGGCAAAAGGAAACGAGATAGACAATCCTTTGGAGAATATAACACAGAATCACTATATAGTCGATTTATGCATGTCCGTCCGTCCATGTTAAATTGTAAACAAAGTACAGGTCGCATTTATGATCCGAATTGGATGAAATTTGGCATAGGTCACCCCAAGGACGAACCCTATTGAAATTGGGAAAAATCGGTTCAGATTTAGATATAGCTCCCATATATATATTTAACCGATTTAATGTAAACGGGGAATATATATCTTTCGATTTGCACGAAATTTGGTACAGCCTAATCATTTAGGTTTAGAATGATGTCTGCCAAGTTTCGTGAAAATCGGTCCAGATTTAGATATAGCTCCCATATATAGATTCGTCCGATTTCATGTAAATGGTGCCGCTAAGTCCCTATATATCTTTTGATTTGCACGAAATTTGGTATAACGTGCTGAATTAAGCCTAGAGTGATGTATGCCAAGTTTGGACCAAATCGGTCCAGATTTAGATATAGCTCCCATATATAGTTTCGTCCGATTTCATGTAAATGGTCAACCAAAGTCCCTATATATCGGCGATTTGCACGAAATTTGGTACAGCCTAATCATTTAGGTCTAAAATGATGTCTGCCAAGTTTCGTGAAAAAGACCTTATTTAGATATAGCTCCCATATATAGTTTCGTCCGATTTCATGTAAATGGGCCCAAAGTCCCTATATATCTTGCACAAAATTTGGCATAACCTACTTAAATGAGCATAGAATGGTGTCTGCCAAGTTTAGTGAAAATCGGTGCAGATTTAGATATAGCTCCCTTTTATTATAGATTGATTTTAAGTAATTGACGTACTAAGGAACCAATAGGAACAAAACGTTCTGAAATTAGTATAACCTAACCTGTGACAAGTATTGAAAATTTTAAAAATTTCTGGGGGAGGTACAAGAAAGGAGTGGACCTATGGGACCCATTGTCGGCCTTGATCTGAAATTGGAAAAAATATTCCGATGTGTAAAGTTTGCCTACAAGGCGTAGATTTTTTAAAGTATATTTTCTAAACACCTACAAGGCGTAGTTTTTTTAGGGAATATTTGTTGGAAGACCTGTAAGGCGTAGTTTTTTTAGGGAATATTTTTTGGAAGACCTGTAAGGCGTAGTTTTTATAGGGAATATTTTTTGGAAGACCTGTAAGGCGTAGTTTTTTTAGGTAATATTTTTTTGGAAGACCTGTAAGGCGTAGTTTTTTGAAGACCTGTAAGGCGTAGTTTTTGTATCACATATTTTTTTTTTCTGAAATATTTTATTAATTTTTTTGAATATTTTTTGGAAGACCTTTAGGTTTTTTAGAAATTTGTCAAAACTGTAAGGCGTAGTTTCGACAGGGAATAGAGAAAAGTTGATTTTTATAATGAATTTTATTGGAAGATTAAGGCGTAGTTTTTTCGCAATAGTTTTTTTCCATAAGACCTGTAAGGCGTAGTTTTTTTAAATTGGGAAATTTTTGGAAGACCTGTAAGGCGTAGTTTGAAAATATTTTAAAAGGCCTGAGGCGTAGTTTTTTTTACAAGAATATTTTTTGGAAGACCTGTAAGGCGTAGTTTTTTTAGGGAATATTTTTTGGAAGACCTGTAAGGCGTAGTTTTTTTAGGGAATATTTTTTGGAAGACCTGTAAGGCGTAGTTTTTTAGGGAATATTTTTTGGAAGACCTGTAAGGCGTAGTTTTTTAGGGAATATTTTTTGGAAGACCTGTAAGGCGTAGTTTTTTTAGGGAATATTTTTTGGAAGACCTGTAAGGCGTAGTTTTTTTGGGGAATATTTTTTGGAAGACCTGTAAGGCGTAGTTTTTTAGGGAATATTTTTTGGAAGACCTGTAAGGCGTAGTTTTTTAGGGGATATTTTTTGGAATACCTGTAAGGCGTAGTTTTTTTAGGGAATATTTTTCTAAACACCTATAGGAATCTACAAGTTAGTTTAATTACAAAAATGGCGTATACGTGTTGTCGGTAATCATACGCCACCTGGATTGATTAATTGAGAAACGAAAGTAAATATATATTTTATCTCAATTTTTTTGAATGTCTTGTAAAGTTCGTAAAGATTTCGTTTTTTACAAAATAAAGTTATCCAATATCTTAGATTTTTTGTATTAAAAAATCAACAAAATTTACGGAGTGTAGAAATTAGTATAAGAAATAACATGGTAATTTTTTAAGATGGTGGCAAGAGATCGGCGAGATTTAGGGATTAACGTTTTTATAAAAAAAAGAACAAAACTACTAAATTCTCATTGCGAAAGGTATTTTTGTCAAGGATATGCTTGAAGGCGGAAAAATAATGAGACGTAGCGTATACGTGTTGTCGGTACTCATACAGCACCTAAACTTGTATTAACATTTCTACACCCCAACAATGATCCTAATTACAAACTTTGGGATTCCAGCTCTATCAATTCACCCAAAATTTACATTGGTACCATTTAGTGCACATTTGTACAAATTCCCAAAACTTCCTACATATCCCAATTCTACACACCAACAGTGATCCTAACTCCAAATTTTTAGGATTGGTTCACCAAAAATTTAAATTGTACCAAATTTAGTACACTTTAGTATGAATTTCCAAAACTTCCTACATAGCCCAATTCAGCATCTCAACAGAGATCCTAACTCGAAATTTCAAGATTCCAACTCTATCAGTTCAGTCAAAATTTAAATTGTACCTAACTCGAAATTTCATATTAGGATTGGGATATGGATGGGTAACTCTATTTCCAAAATTCAGTGTTCCAGCTCTATCGGTTCACCCAAAATTTAAATTGTACCAAATTTTGTACCATACCAATAATGATCCTAAGTCCCAATTGGGATATGGTCCTCCAAAAATGTGTAAGCCAAAACTTCTTCCAAAATCCTGTACTCCAAAAGTAACAAAATTTCAGTGTTCCAGCTCTATCGGTTTACCCAAATCAAAAATGTACCAATTATGGTACGATTTAGTACTTTTGTAAAAAATATTACGAATTTACATTAAATATCTACATAACTCCAATCCTCCAAATTCAAATTGTAGATTCAGTACTTTTCATATAGTTTACATTTTCTGGACCTTACTTCACAGCTTTGTTGATCCAAATTTCGTTAAGTCAGTCAATCAGTAAGTTAGTACGTCAATCACTTTACATTCTTAAATATAATGAATGACATTTTTCTACATATATTACATTTTATACAGGTATATGAAGTTCTCGACGTTTCCAATTTTAGACAGCCGAAAATCTAAAAATTCGTTACACGGACCATCCTAATATACGATGCACCACTTTTGGGTACATATAGGAGGTACTGTTAGGATTTATATCATAACTCAATATAAATTCAAGAAATTACCGGTTGGTCTTTTTTTCGGAAAAATCAGAAGTCTCCCATTACACAATGCTTAATATAATTAATAACTATAAAAAATTAAACACATTAACATTTTTTTTGGAGTCAATCGGGGTCGTCTTTATTATGGATTTATCCCTAATTTCCATGAATGCTAAGACAACGTTGCCGACAACATATCGCTCTCATTTCTGACGACAGCAACATGTTGCCGAATTGGTTGGTTGGTATGCAAACAATGTTGCTGCTCTTGTTGTTGTTGTTGCTTGATGATTATCCAATGGATTTGTAAATTGTATAACAACACACGCGAAGTTATTATGAGTTTAAAATGCATTCGATAAATCGATAACAAACAAATTAGTGATATATGATTATAAGAATTACATGTATAATAATTATAATAGTTATTATAATAATAATAATGATAATAGCAATAATTTAAATAATTAAAATATTTAAACGCATTTGAAACACGTAAAGACAAAAACAATTCAAATAAAATAATTAAATGGGATTCATCCGATTGTCGGCGGTTTAAAATTATTCGTAATTTCCGGTTAGTTAAATCGACTCCCCAATGTTTATACACAGAACTACAACAACATCGATCCTTAGATATCATATGATAGTAGTGGTAGTAGTATGAGTAGAATAATTGTAAGAGTATTGGTAGTAGTATTTTCATCATCATCATAATCAGGGCATAAATAATTATACAAAAACACTGAATGAACTTAAATCTATTTGAAGATGTGGACAGCCTTGTATTGATTATTGACTTCCAATTTGGCGTTCGAGGTGGCAACGCCCAAAGGATTAGCAGCAGTGCATGAATAGTTACCAGCATCCTCTGCAATTGGAAAAATTAAAAATGTTTGCATTTAATCGTATATGATTTTTTTCAGAGTATGTTGTTTTTTTTTTTCTTACCTGGATATGCCTGGGGTATGGTTAGACGACATACACCATTACGATATTCAACAATATGCTTGGGACTGCATTCCAAATTGTAACCGTTTCTAGTCCATGTCACAGATGGTGTTGGATGCGATTGAACGATGCACTCAAATCGAGCAGTTTGTCCAATGGCAACAGCATGATCTTTCAAGGGCTATAAAATGAAGAGATTATTAATGATAGTCATAAAAAAAAATATAATTTTGGTATATGGTATTCAGAAATATAGGTCATCATAGAAAATGTATTTATAATAAAATATAAACAAACTAAAAACAACAAACGGCGATTCAGTCTGACTATTTTGCAAAAACAAATTTTTATAAAAATTCAGACTTAAAGTCTGCTATTGATAGAGTGCCTTCTGCAAGTATATTAAAGACAGAATACGTAGATAAAATATAAGACCTTCTTCGGGTTTTCTATTGAAGGAGTAACTTCCAAAAGGTCACCTTTCAATAGAAAAATCTTCAAATGGGCATCTTTAAATACACGATTTTTGAAGGGGTTTCTTATAAATTGAATGCCTTCAATGGCTTGCATAGACAGGGGACTTTTATAAGTGGAATATTTTTATGAAACGTGTAAAGATCGAAGACATTTCATGGGTCTTGTGAAGATATAATTTATAACTATCAAAGGGTCTTTTTGTACATTCAAAGTATAAATGAAATGCCTTCTATTGCTCTTTGATATGTGGAAGATTTTCTATGGGCAGAATATTTTTCAGGATACCAATATTCTATTCATATAGAAATACGAGCACATTTTCAATACGGACATACTAAGTACAGTTTGACGTACCACCATGTGTTGTGTTGTCATTTGCTAAAAGTGGAGTTTACTCTTCAACTTTTTTCACAATTCGAGGAGTCCTGCGCCGTACAGACCTGATTGGCGCCCAATTACTTATTTCGGCCAGCATAATTTTTGTCGCTCTTTCATATGAATAAAATATCTTATTTGGATCTCCAAGGCTTTATTTGGGTCTTGTATGAATGTTTTAAAGATAAAAGACCTCCCTAGGGTCCCATTTCCGTGGGTTTCTACGTTAAGATAACGTACTACACATATAAAAGATGTGTGAAATAGTTAAGATGTCAACAAAGGGTGTTGTATATAAACGTATATCATTGTCATTATTGTTAAAATTAAATTTCTGAATACCATTTCAAAATAATGTTGTTAAAAATTAACTTACCGTTATAAAGATTGGTGCAATGGGTACAAATTCTTCACGGCTATAATTTACTGGTACATCTTGTGGATAACCTTGTTGTCCTAGAAGATTTCATTTGAATATATTTTTATTAATTTCACTCAAATTTCTATAAAATAATGCATTGTCTTGTTAATTGCAACACTTACAGCTTTTAGGCACTTTGATTTAATTTTTTTATTACTTCTTCAAAGGATCAAGAATGCAATTAATCCTTTATTTGCAAGCAAGCATAATTTTGGGGGGTTCAATTACAAGTTTTTTTTAATTTGAACAGCATCACTTTTTATAAACACTTAGCATGCAAATTATTTAATTATTTTTTTTTCAATTATAATTAAACTCATTATTAAAAAACACAGTAACAAAAAAATGGGTTAAAATGTTAATTAAAATTATATATAAACAATCATGCAAATTTCCAGATGTATAATTTGATTCTGCCAGTTAATATCTCAAATTGGGTATTTGTTTCCATTTGGATGGGTGGCAATGATATCGTTTTTTTTTGTGACATTTAGTAGAAAGATCAATGAGTTCTATAATGATCTTAAGAGCGATATACATTGTTTTTAGTTTCATACATTAAAAAAAAATATATATTGAAAAGTTAAAAAAAAATGAATTGACTTTATAATAACAGTTTCCGATTGATAAACAAAAACTTAGGTTTGCACATTTTTTTGTCATTATGCAACCAATACTAAATTTGGTCAGATATAGAGTTGCTTCTTACAGTGGGACAAAATTATGTAAATACATTTAAAGCAAAATATCGAAATCTAAACCGATTTCATCGAAACTTGTCACATGTTAGGTTACACTTATTTCATAAAAATTTCGTCATTTTATATATACATACAAATATTTTGCAAATAAGGATATATAATATATTGGGAAAATATATATGGGAGCTATATTAATATCTGAAAATCTTTAAAAATTTAACACAAATCTTTCATAGACCTATTTCAGTACGCTGTGTCAAATTTTGTGAAATACTAAAACCTTCGTTTATTCTTTCAAATAAAGAAAAGGTACTATTTATATTTGGGCTATACCAAACATGACCAAACGAGGTCTCTTGTCGGTGTGTGTTTTAATTTTTTAATAAAAAAAATCAGTAAGTAAAAGACAAAAATTGGATGTGAGCGCCCACAACATTAGATATATTCACATACAAATTTTCATCGTAATCGGCCAAACCTCGAGGGTTTAGTGGACGAAAATATTATATAGTGGGAGATGTATCTATGTATATCTGAAACAATGTTGACAAAACTATCTAAATCTCAACCGATTCTCACAATTTTCAACAGATTTCGTCATTGGGCCAATTAAATAGGCCTATAGTACAGCCTATTAAAGTCATTAAGTTCAGCCCCCCAAAAAGAAAATATTAAGAAATTTGAAGTTATAAATGTCGAAAATTTGTTAATAAAAATTTCAATTTTATATAGGCATAAATATTACAATACAATACTTATATATATTATATTGGATACTTTTTTGGGAATCTCTATTAATATAAAAATATTTAAAAAGTGTTTCTATACTAAAAATGTCCTACATGATTTTCCTAACCGCTGGAATTTAGAAATACTAAAACCTTGCTTAGTTCTTTCAAATAAAGAAAAACTGTTATTCTTTTATATTTGGGCTATACCAAACCTGAAAATGGTGGTCGGTAGGAAAAAAATTTGTGTTGCAAAAAAAAATTTAATTAAAAGCAAAATGTGTGTTTCCCCATTGTAATTTAATTGTGTAATATTTTCCAATATTTTATTTATTGATTTATTATTTATTTTATTTATTTATTTTATTTATTGTTACTTAAAACTCCTTGTACATTAGAACTTTTTACCGGGTTAACCTACTTTATGAGGATTTATTTGACATATATGCAAAGGAAATGACAATTGAAACCCACTGGGTTAACGAAATCCGGTTAAATGTAAACGTACTGTAAACTTTATAACAATACATATGTGAAATATCAATAATCCACTGAATAAATGCTTTGCGATTAAAAGAAAATAAATTAAAGTTTAAAAATATGGCAACCTACAATATGGCACTGCTGTTCATTGTTTTGAAGCAATTTGGTGCAACAACTACAATAGATTACAAATAAAAGAACATTTTTATGATGGGAAAAACACGAATAATGGGAAGAAATCTGCGATTAAATTAAATAATTCACATGTTATTAGTTCATTACATAATTGTGTGCCTTTTAATTTAATTTCGATATTTTTCTCCCAAAATTCTTAAAGTGGCCAGTTATGATATGCTCCTACTCCTATTCTTCCTTCGAATCATGCACACGATAATTTTGAAAAAAAATGTTGTCACTTTATTTTTGTGCTTTCATAATTTTTATTTTTCTCTTGAGAGACAGATGCTCTTCCAAAATGTCTGTATTTCGCCTCCAAAATGCATCAAACTCGACTTAAATATTCCTTATTACCTTTATACATTCCTTGGCAATATTTGGTTCAGCATGCATCGTTATCAATAGGATTTCCAATGGCATTTTATTTGTTGTTTTCCAGTTAAAAATTTGCTCTCTGTCATTTATAATATTCTATGTATTGTATAAATATTTTTTCATAAATATATTTATTACTTATGTTTTTGTAGTCAGCTCCCTTTGAATTTGTTAGCGAAAATGTTCGCACAAAGTTTCATCTCATTCTCCTACTCCCTGTAATCCAGAATACCTAATTTTTCCCCAAAGCGGATATTTTCGCTTTCGGACTTTATTCAGAATAAGACGAAAGCGAGAATGCGAAAAAATCACAGGAAAAATATTGTTCAGAATAAGTCGAAGGGGAAGAGCCAGTAAATTCACGTGGAATTGACATCCAGAATAAGGCTGTATGTGTTTTGGGTTTTCCCTTAAACATCCTTCTAAAACGACATCTAGTGGGGAATATTGGCACAAACTCGGAATAAAATCGGGAATAAGGAAGGAAGTGTTCATATTTTTTACGTTTAGGCTGATGTTCGAGTTTTGGGTTACCTCCCGATGTAAAGTTTCAAAATGTCGATACACGTGTCATTTATTTTTACGCCCTCTATCACAATTTGTTTGAATTTTCCGATTAAAATTTTTTGTGTTGCGCATTTACTCCATTCGCTTCATATAATGTACAACTTTTCCACATTTTAAACATTTGAAAAGGGGTGTATCTATACCAAAATATCAAAACGTATCTTAAATCCTCAAAATACCTAAAATATGGTACAATAGTGATAATTTTGTCTACGAAGATTTTCAACCCAATGATATTCGACATATTTTTAAATTATAGTCAATAGGCGTGACAATTGTGTATAAGCTATGAAATATATATTGAAATTTGGGAGGTATTTTTATATGAAATCTAATCTATAACATTGGTAGGAAGATTTACTACTCAATGATAACATAAAATATGGTGGAAAAAACAAGTCCACAGATTGAAAAGAAATCACTGAAACCAACAATGACTAGTTAGCACCATTGAATTGCTTTAATGTAGAGGTAGTGAACAAAAATTAAAGCATACTTTGAGGCGCTCACATTTTTGTTTGTTCAATTTGTTGTCCATTGTGGTATATTGTTACAGACTTAATTTTTTCGTATAATATCATTTGTATTCTTCAAATAGATCAAGCTAGCTCCTCAGCTCCTTGCCGATAGTTAAATGTGAATAAACTCTAGATTATAATTGAAACATTAAATGGAATTAAAATAATACCAATTGAAATAACTATTAATATGTTCTCAAGAAAATGTTAACACAGAACAAAATAAACATAAACTTAATGATTATTTGAGGATTTTTAGGATAGGAATTTGAGTGGAAGGGAATATGTCAACTCCATTTTTGGGGGATAATTTTTAATTTTTCAGGTTTTGGGGGAATTTATATACACAAATAATGTTATGACATCGAAATAGTAAATTCAATCTTGTGGGGAAGGTAAAGGAAAAATGATTATAAACATCAAAGTGATAATGAGATCTCATACACATATTAATTTATGAAAACGATATTTGTTTAGAAAAAGCTTATTTTTGGGATCCAAGCTTTTCTCCGATTTACATTTCAATTGTTTTCAATCAATAATATTTGTTATTTAAAAACACAACATCAATTTTCTTCGTTTTTTTTCTGTTTTTCTTTCATATTGTTACAACATCAAAGAAGCCCATCGATCGATTGCTGGATTTCAATTTAACATTTAACAAAACCAACAAACCTGTTAATGGTAAACTAGACAAATTATTTAATGAATCCCCACTGTGCAAACGATCGATATTAATATCGATAGATTGGGTATTCGGTAAACTATAACGTTTCTTTAGTCTATTTGTTGCAAACGATGGTGATGGACACGATAGATTCGGTGTGATGGATCTATACGATGATGAACCTCCCCTGTAATGACCGCCAGCATCATCTGTATCCGAATAATAGCCACCATTTACGGGTGATGGTGTTATATGGGTACGTTCGTGCTGGACCGGTATAACTAGATCACGTCCACCCGCCAACGGATAGAGGTTTTTGCGTCCAGTTACTTTGGGAAAATTCTGTCTGTGGCTGGTCGGTAGTGATGATGATTGTGATTTATTCCATTGGCTGGCCACAAATTTGTGACCCTCACCGGGGAACAGTATACCAAATTCATAACCGAAATCATATTTAAAATAAACCAAACCAGTATTGGGATCAACACATTTGGTACCTAGTTCCACCGATTATTGTGTGTTTTTTATGTATATATAGAACATATAATGGACAATATTAACATTGTATTAAGTTATACCATAAAATTATTATTTTTTTTATAAAATATGTATTGTTGTTTTGTGTTGTATTGTAAAAAAAAGTGTTGAAAGATAAATAAAAAACAAGGGTTATGTAATAAAATGTCAAGCAGTAAAAATATAAAATTTGTAACTCCAAAACAAAAAACCAAAACCAAAAATATATTTAAACCAATTTACTCCAGTTACATGATTTTTTTCAATCACGTTTGAGGAATATAAAAAGTGTGATTTTCTCTATAGCCAAATCCTTTGAGCATTGAGCGGGGTTGTTGTTTTTTGTTAAGCTTAAATTTTGAAGAATAAAAAAATAAAGCTGTTAGTGTTATTTGTAAAAAAATAAATGCTTATATTTAGGACAAACAACCTGTCAAGAAAATGTTCGTATATTATCAAAAGTTGGGGAATTTCTTCCATTTAGAAGAAATTCATCAACAAGATGTTCTATTTTCTTGACAAACTGTTGATAAGCGGGAAATAAAACTGGAATACATTGGGTCCACTTGACAATTCACCACATTAACACATTTCCCCATATATTTACATTTACAAAAATAAAAGGTTCCCTCATCATATAACATAGGACGAAAGTCTCTTAAAAAAAATAATTTGTTTTTGCAAAATAGTCAGGCTGAATCCCAGTTTGTTGTTTTTATAAAAAACAACTATTTATTGGTGGGGAATGTATGACATTGTTTGCCGAGGGGTAAGGCAGGGAAGACTATAGTTTCGGATCACGCCACTGATCCTCATCAGTTCCCTTAGTTTTTTGTTGGGATATTTTCCCCAGAAGCTATTGCTTCTATACAAAAAACCTTTCATACCCAAATGTCTCGTGTAACAAAGCGAAGTACTTAGCTGACCAACGACATAAACTGCATGAGAATTTCGCTGGAGCCTCACTTCGAGGTTAACAAGGCATTTACAAACAATACCACACCTTTCCCACTGTTGTGTGTTGTCACATCGCGACAAATGCACACAACGACTTTGTTGGTGTTGCTAGTATACAGCAACAAACCAAACAGTTCAACCGTGCCTGCGTCTACAACTTCAGTAGTGTTGGCGGTTTATTTGGGATACCATTTGTATTTTGTTTTTGCAAAATAGTCAATATAGTTGTTTTATAAAAAAACAACTATTTATTAGTGGGGAATGTATGGCATTGTTTGCCGAGGGGTAAGGCAGGGAAGACTATAGTTTCGGATCACGCCACTGATCCTCATCAGTTCCCTTAGTTTTTTGTTGGGATATTCTCCCCAGAAGCTATTGCTTCTATACAAAAAACCTTTCATACCCAAATGTCTCTTGTAACAAAGCGAAGTACTTAGCTGACCAACGACATAAACTGCATGAGAATTTCGCTGGAGCCTCACTTCGAGGTTAACAAGGCATTTACAAACAATACCACACCTTTCCCACTGAATAATTCCCACAAAATAATTTTATATAATGCACATTTTGGAAGATTTGCTATACCCGGTGGATGCCGTGATTTTATGTAAGACTTATATAATACCGTGGAAGATTTATTATCTACCAGAATCCTATAGATGCTCAACTATAGTTAAAAGATCAATCGAAGTCAGATTTACATCCTCAGACTATGATCCAGGTCACCTTTCTTGGAATCTCTATGCTATTTTGTAAAGTTTATATCAGTTCTGTGGAGTTCGATCGCAAGGGTGGGGGAAATAATGTTTTTGTCTGTCCGTAATACTCTCCAGTATAGGGTGTATACAATCCACCATTCAGTTTGCAACACATGGAAATATTTGGGCACCAATGACCTCATAATGTATGCCTAACCATTGTGGGGTCTCAGTCGGTCCATCTGTCGGAATCACCAATGAGCTTTAATACTGTAAATATGTTAGGCATTGAAAACGGGACCACCACATTTTTGTTAATTCCGAACAAAGTGGCTGTTATTTGATAATTTAGGCTTTTTGAGTGCAAAATACTAGACTAGACGTAGATCCCATACTAAAGTCCCAATTTATGTATTTTGATTTGTAATTTTTTAACCGATATGACTACAATTATGCGGTTCGGAATTTCAATTTTTCTAATTTTTCAATATAAGTCAATGATTGGGTCCTTCAAATCTCCAGCCCAATTTAGGTATTTTGATCAGTTTTTGCCAGGTGGCAACAATAACTCAAAGTAGGTTCATATATTGACATAGGGTCTACATAACGGTCCGACCGATTTTAGAAATTTTTAAAGCTATACAAAGTTTGGCCCGCCCGTAATTATTCACCTATTTGATATCCTGGACTCATTCCAGGCACTCATGCGTGCCGGGCAGATGGGGGACAGACATTTGGAAATCAATTCCAAAATGTTTGAAACGGATCTGTGCAAAGTTACTTGGAAAATTGCAAATGAAAGATTTTTTTATTGAACAACTGTGGTCCTCCTTCTATAAAATACTTCGGAGGAAGTGTTTCTCTCATTAGAAGATCTTCAAGAGATATATGAAAGAATTTCTATCTATGGAAACAAATCTCCATTATTAGAGGATCATTGCTTGAGTTTATATGTCTATAGAAGATATTTATTTTTATAATTTACTAGTTTTCTAATTTATTCTTGTTTTTTTTATTTTTTTTAATTTATGTCGTTTTAATTTTACAAAAACTTACATTCGTCATATATTCCTCTAAAAGCATATCTTTCTAAAAAATATTGCATCTTTACCGTCTTATTGCACAACAAAACTGCAATACACATTACTCACAACAAAAAATATACAACAGCAACAACAACAACAACAAATTTACTCAACATCGTTCAAAGGATTTGCTTATAACAAAAAGTCACAGGCAAAAAACAAAACTCAAAAAAAGGACAAACGAAGGAAAAAAATAAAACAAATGAAAAAAACTCAAAACATAAAAATACACACACACAAACAACTACTTACCGTATTGAGATACCCGAGATTCATCATGATAAGCCTGTGGCCTATTGTCACCCTCACTGGGTGCCCGTTGGAAACCGGCACGATAACCCATTGGTGAGGCTGACGATCCATTGACTAGGTTCGATGTATTTTGGCTGCTGCTGTACTTGTGCATGTCTTCCCTAATGTTTTCGCTGAACTTTTGAGTTTTCTGCATAAACGACGAGTTCATGCTCTTGGCCTGATGTTCGGCTTGCGATTGCCAGCTATTGGCAGCATTATAGCCACCATCGCGGGGATATGTCTGTGGCAATGCCCCCTGATCGTAGTTGTTCGTTTGATAGTATTGTTGATTGGAACGCATCGACGAGTTGCGATTCAATGACTGAGTGCGATTCTGCTGGCCAATGTTGTTGGCACGATCACGGCGAATGGTCTCAACATCGACATGGATTTTGGTGGGCATTTCTGGTCCCCGGTCGAATTCCATGGGCGAGAGCACACGTTCATAGGCGCGTGGCAAGCTGGTGGAACGTGATTTTGGTGCCTCAACGTGACGGTAACGCAAAGGTCCCGAGGGTCCCATAGGTGTCCAGAGGGGAGCAATGCGAACCTTGTCGATTTCATTCGAATAGCCGCTGTCATGGAATTTGCCTGGTATGAATTTGGTGGGTGTAGCTGGTGGTGGTACACGTTGGCGACCAGGAGTGGCACGTGGTGAGGGAGTTGGGCTATAAGGTGGGAATTGTTCCATGGGTTGTTGATATTGGTATCCCAAGTTATTGTTGGCGTTGTTGTAGTTCTGATTGTCGTAGTGCATCACGCGTTGGGTTTGTTGCATATTCACAACACGTTGGCACGACTCCGAGGACTCCTTCATTTGCATGGAATTCTTGGTCTCGGTGGCCATGTGTGGCATATGCATGGGAGAACTAGCCACAGCGTTGTAATACATACCAGGTTGAGGAGCCACACCACGTGGTTGTTGTTGATGCAAATCTCTTGGTATGGGTTGTGGTGGTGGAGCAAATTGCTGCTGTTGTTGGGCAGCAGCAGCCAAGAATTTAGCAGCCACTGGTTTCGGTTTGTAGACCTGTTGAGTTTGGGCTGGAGCAAATTGGGGCTTGGGAGCTTGATAGCCACCAAATTGACGGGGTTGCTCAAACTTAGGCTTGGCAGCATAAGAAGGACCGGTTGTTGGTGGTGTAGGCTCGAATTCCATGGGTGATGGTGTAACCACCACAACGGGAGACTTATGACCATTAATAGTGGGCTTGGGTGTGGGTGGATAAACCACACGATAACCCTTAATGTCATTGTCCGAAGCACGTGACACCGAACGGAAACGTTCATCAACTTCGCTGCAATAGTCGCTGTATTCAGCAGCTGGTGTTTTACGTTGAGCCGGTATTGGGCTTGGTGGGGCAACGGGTCTATAGCCAGTAGGTTGTTGGCTAACTGGTTCGGCACCGAATGGTTTGGGACCACCACTGGTCGATGACATGTTGTAGGAAACATTTTTCGTCATGGATGTTACAGAGTAACCCTGTACAGGGAAATAAAGAATAAAAAATAGTTAAATTTTACAGCGTTATTTAAGTAATGAAGAAATACGAAGTCTTATTAAAAAACATTGACGTATGTATATTATTACTTATAATCTAACATTAACGATTAGTTTCAAATTACAATTGTTAAAAATTGCTATACTCAAAATGGTTTTGGATTAATCAAAAAATATTTACACAAATAGTGTTTTGCGGGATTGGGGGGCAATCACATGCCGTTGGTTAAACAAAAAACATTCAAACATAAATATAAACAAATTATCATTTAGGAGCCAGGGAACGTAGTTGTCGAATTTTATTATAAAAAAAAAAATTTTAAAAATATAATTAATTGACTCCAAAAGATTTATTTTTTTCTGATCGAAAATTCGAATTTTCCATAATTATTTTTTTTGTGATGATTATTTCGAAATATAGAAAAAGAATAAATGAAAATTCGAATATACAAAGATTTTTATTCCTTTAAAATGTATATTTCCAAAAAACAAGCCGCAAATTGTTGGAAATTCGAATTTTCGATTTATTTTATGCATATCATTTATAATGCAATATATGGGACTATGTACATATAAGGTACATGCACATGTGTCGAAGAATTGTTCTTAATTTAAACTTAGTGTAGTGTGTATTATTTGTTTATAATAACCATTACTATGGTATAGATTAGTTATACAGTGGTCTTTGTTTTAGAACATGGATATAGTCATTAGACTCTGAAGACTCTAAAGTTTGGAGACTAGATTGTAATCATGTTGTATGCGTGATTAAAATTCCACAGATCCAATTTCTTATATGACGTCCATCACAACTAAACATACTGAGTGGTACGTGTATGTATGGAATATTTATAAACGTATTTTTTTATTTTTAATTACAACTGTCAACTGTATAAAAAGGTGATGAAATGTACCAGGATAGATAAAAGTTTGATTCACAATTTTTTTAATTAAAAAAATAGGGGATTCTAAAATGTTAAAGCGTATTAATAAGTAGGATTAAAAGGAGAAACCCCATTCTTCAAAGAATTTCTAATATGAATATTTTATGAATATTAGGTTGGGGAAAGAGAAATCCATTTTTTTTTTTGTAAATGGTTTAAAACAGTTATGGTCGATTTTTAGCTCCTGGGCGATGTTAAGACTGCTAACATACCGGTCAACTTCAATCATTTCTCCGTTTTTATCGACATTTTAGACGACCGGCTACCTGTGCGAAGTTAATCTTTAACATCAAGAATTCCAGAACGTAATCTACGAAACAAAAATTGCACATTCGCCCATGTTCCGAGAGTTTTTGAATTCATATACTTTTTTAAATTCCCATGTTGTGCAAAATGGTGTGCTCAATTTCGAGCGAAAGTGCGACTCGAAAGCATAGCTGTGTTCAATATGTTACGAAAAGTGTTCAATAAAAAAACATATGTTTCATTGGAATTTGCAATTTGTTTACAAACAAAATTAAGAAAAAAATATGCCTGCTGGCTTAGTAATTGCCCTGGTTTCTACCAGAAAAAGTCTAATGATAATATAATGATACACAAGGGTGCCATTCCTGAAAGTCTCCAGTTAGCAAGTACATTAAGATTTCTGGCTGTTGGTTGATTTCAGAGGGTAGTGGCAAATGATTTAAATATAAGTGTTGATCGCACAACAATATATAAAATATTGTGGAGAGTAATGAAAGTCCTGAAAGACAAAGTGTGTGCAAGCTGTGGACAGCTGCAGACCAGGATCCAGCCATGATGCTTTTGTTTGGCATATGAGTGCAGCTAGGCAGCATTAACAAAAAAGAAAATGGTACGCAAAATAGTTGGCTTGTATAAGACAGTGGTTACGCTTTAGAAACATTTTTTGACGCCCTATAAACAAGTGGAGCATGGATCTTGTCAACATCGATATAATAAAGTGCACACATCTGCAAGAAATATTATTAAAAGGACTATTGGAAATCTTAAAAGTAGATTTTTTATAGATTCTATTTTTATTTTGATCATATGGTTTTTGAGTTGCCAAATTGATCTCAAATATGTTACTCGCTGTTTTTGATAAAATGAGCCCTTTTTTATTTTCTTTAATTTTACTATAAAAACTAATGTAAATACTGTATTTTTTAAATAAATATGGTAAAATCACGATAAATATTACTTCGGCGTTCTTTTTCAACTTGTACGTGCTCAGAAAAACACGTACGATCTCATTTCGTTTTCAATCCACAAGGCTATATGTGCTCGAATTATATTCCCAATATTTTTTTGGGAAAATGTTTCACATTCGAGCAAACTCGAAATGCAGCACATGGGCGATTATTGGCTATTACAGTATCGGAACCATACAAACTATTTACTATTTTAGCCGCTTGGCGTGCATTTTCGCCTTTGTCACAAAAAAACTGTAAAATTTACCGAATTTTCTCTTTGCAAAAATAAATTAGTTTACTGTGAAATGCGCATAAATCTGAAATTGTTTGATCGATACTTTACGAGAAATCTATCAGTACAGCCATTTTCTGACAAAAATAATAGATTTCTTTTTCCCCAACCTACTATCTGCAGAAGTTCTTATATACGAAGAGCTTTCTCATAGGTAAAGTACCCTAAAGTTTGTTTTACGGCATAAGGTGTATATATTATATATATACCTGCAGAAGTTCGTATATATATATCTGCAGAAGTTCGTATATACGAAGAGCTTTCTTGTAGGTAAAGTACCCTAATGTTTGTTTTTCGGCATAAGGTGTATATATTCTGGCGTTTTCTGCACAGAGTCCCCACCCACAACAACTGCAGGAATTATGCTTATTTCTGGTGGGAAAGTTTACTTTCAAAATTAATTTCCCCTAAAAATGAATTAAAAGTTCATTTTTCTTGAAGGAAAATACACCTTACTTAAATAAAAGTTCCCTTTTCTTAACGAAAAGTACTCTTGGCTTAAAGAAAAGTACACTTAGCTTAAAGAAAAGTAACCTTTGCTTAAAGAAAAGTACTCTATGCTTAAAGAAAAGTACCCTTTGCATAAAGAAAAGTACACTTTGCTTAAATAAAAGTACCCTTTTCTTAAATAAAAGTACCCTTTGCTTAAAGAAAGGTACCCTTTGCTTAAAGAAAGGTACCCTTTGCTTAAAGAAAGGTACCCTTTGCTTAAAGAAAGGTACCCTTTGCTTAAAGAAAGGTACCCTTTGCTTAAATAAAAGTACCCTTTGCTTAAACAAAAGCACCCTTTGTTAATGAAAAGTACCCTTCCTTAATGAATAGTACCCATTCTTAAAGAAAAGTACCCTTTCTTAAAGAAAAATACCCTTTCTTAATAAAAAGTACCCATTCTTAAATAAAAGTACACTTTCTTAAAAAAAAGTACACTTTTGTTAAAGAAAAGAATCCTTTCTTAAAGAGAAGTACCCTTTCTTTTAGAACAGCACAATTTCATAAAAGAAAAATACCCTTTCCCTTGAGGATGGTACCAGCTCTTTAATGAAAATGACAATCTCCTTAAAGAAAAATACACTTTTCTTAAATAAAAGTTCCATTTCCTTCCTTAAGAAAAGAAATTACACTTTCCCTAAAGAAAAGTACCCTTTCTTTAATTAAACGAACAGTTTTCATAAATAAATGTACCCCTTTCCTTAAAGAAAAAGTACCCTTTCCTGAAGGTTAAAACTGTTGATTCATTCTGAGGGAGGTACTAGAAGGCGAGGACCGATAGATCTCATTTTGGGATTTAACGTGAGCTTCATAAAAATATTACGAGTGCATCAAATGTTTTTTTAAATTATTATCTTTGGAACCTATTTTGTTAAAATTTATGCTCTCAACCACACTGTTTTTCAATTTTTCTTCAATCCGCTTTTCTTTAAAATTAAATATAATTAGCACATGCCATGTGGATGCTCTTTGGACATTTTTCCAATTGTTGTTGTCGGTATTGGGAACAAAATACATTTGAGTAGGTGAGCCACCTCCAAAGGTGAGAGGACTTTTATATGGAAGTTGCGTCAAACCATTGACCTACATTGAACATTTTCTAAAATTATATATAGTTTTACTCTAATCAAAAATATTTATGGCGTATCCGAAAAATCGTTAGAGGTCTTTCAAACCTTTTTAATCACATAAATGTCTACATTATGGACCCCGAAACAATTATCACTAAAAGAGTTATTTATATAATCACAATTATGTACATACATTTTTATATAAAAATAATATTAACAACAGTGTATTACTTATAGTATTTGTTAAATCACAGTAGAAATATTTGTACACAGAATTTACAAAACCTTAAATTATGGAAATTCGAATTTTCGAAATCGATGTAATAATAGATGACAAAATTTTATTTTCTTTTCTGCAACACTTACGAACCGTAGCCCTTAAAGATCGTGTTAAAACATAAACAAAAACGCGTTAATTATTATTAAAAGAAATTAGTCATTGTTTTTAAGCATTCATTCAAATCAATCGTTGGACCAAGGAGAGATAATGTGTTAACATTTGTTTTTAAGGGGAAACGGGAATAATTTTTAGGGAAGGGAGGAAACAAACGGGAGGGATACAATCATACATAAGTGTTGTTGAGTGAGAATATACACAGATTAGTTTGTTTGTGTTGTAATATAGAAGTGTTGGTAATAGAAAAAAAAACAAAATAATTACAAAAAACATTTAAAATCTTGTTTTACAATCAAAATTAACATAAAACACAAATGATATCTACATTCAGGATATATGGGAACGAAGAAAAAAATATATATTGATATTCGATTTTTTAATGTGATATTCTACATTAAGAGACCAAAACTAATAAAGTTTTTGAAATATAAAAAAAAATAAACAATTGTGGGAAATATAAAATATATTATTGTCATTTTTTATTCGAAGTCCCATGACCTAAATATTGGCAACTTCCAGAATTCACCACTGTAAGAAAAGGACCAAAGTCGGACAGGGACGGTATATTCGTCCCTTTACCATAATAAATTATTTATGTATCCCACTCGATTTAAACCAAAATATTCGATACAGTTTTTTTGTGGTATTTGCAAAATGTCGTGTCGATCGAACAAATGTGGTATATTTGGTGTCATATTGACATGAAAAAGTAAAAAATTTGTTAAGGGAGCTGTGACACACGCTTTAAATATTTAATTCGTTACACTACTTATTATTTCATTACAATCGAAAGAATGGTGGAGTCTTTGGTGAAATCTGAATCAATTCTCACAATTTTGAACAGCGGTTTTTATCTAAACAAAGTATCTCTCAATGTAGAATATCTTTGAGTTTATACAACAGATCACGATGATGAGTTTTGATGCTTGTAGACCTTTCTAACATAACTGAATTATCAAAATTTACAAACATAGAACAACATTTGGTGGGGGGAGGATACAATTTGCAAACTCATTTCTAAATAGTCCAACATTTTTTTGTACATAAAACAAAAACAACAACAACATGAATAATAGCATATTAACAGACATTCGAAAAATGATGTAGGCATGTGAATGCGTTTCAATTCCAACCTTATCTTCATGATGATAACGATTCTCTGTCGTTGAATACGATTCCTGTTTGTCTTCTGTATCGGCTGCATAACCATTTGTCTTGTGTACAGGGGCCTGGAACGAATTGAATGTGGTGCGTAAGGTATTCTCATCCGATTCACTGCCACTGCATTTCCAGCGGTCACTTTCATAATCACTTTCATTGTTGGGCGTTTGCAATTTGTTGGGAACAACTGGCGGGGGAGGTTTATAGATCGGAGCTTGCTGGGGTGTATCAGTGGGTGTTAGTGGCAATACTGTGGGCACCGATTGTGGCAAGACAGTGGAGGGCCTTGATTGTATCAATTTCTCCTCGATTATCTTCTCCATGGTCTCGACAATGGATTGACGTTGCTGTAGCTGTGGGCCCTTGGGGGCAAAACACATTTCTGGTGGAGTGCCTGGTTGTAAGTCGATATCTTCAATTGGTGTCTTGGGACGACTGGCACCTCCAGTGGCTTGTTTCACCAATGAGGGAGCTCTCAAATCGTGGGCACTACCACCCAAACCAGTGGCGTGTGTGGCACTGGGACTCCACAATTTTTCCATACGCAAACCTTCCAGGGAGGGTTTGGGTGTACCTGGTTTAGGTGGGAAAATGGGCACACCACCATGTGGTGGCTCTTTGGTATTGACGGGCATTTCTTCCAATTGTTTAATTCTTTCATTGATCGGGGGATTCTTGGGTTTCGTTTGGTTATCGGTATTGGGAACAAAACACATTTGAGGTGGTGAACCACGTCTCAAAGTGCGATCTTCGACGGATTCTTCGTCTTGGTTCATTGGAACGTTTTGAGATTCGGCTGGGGCGCCACTTTGAATGACCTTATCGATTTTCTTGAAATACTCAAAGGATGAAGTCTTCTTTTCTTCACTGTCAATAATGCACTGGGGTTCGGTGTCATTTGGATCCACAAATGTAACATGGGGCTTGGCTGGCGACGATGCGACCGCCGCCGCCACAGCTGCTGGGGCTGAGGGGTGGAAGGGCGTAGCTACACCACCGAAATGTGGTGGTGGCACTGACTTGACGCCGGGATTACTGTGATCGGTTACATCCACATTAGGTCTGGTCAGGCGATCGGGCAAATCGGAGTAATTGGGTTTATGTTCTAGACGCATGGTTGCCTCGGTGGTGCAACGATGCTCAGTTATAATTTTGGACTCGGATAAGCCATGCCTGTCGCTTGATTTTTGGCTTTCGATTTTTTGGGATTCAAACGACAGTGGTTCCTTGTTAAACTGTAAATTGTTGTTGATGATGATGCATCCAATGTGGGGGAGAAGTCACAGAGAAGAACACACACATACATACACACGCAAGTAGGCACAAAGGTAAATGTTTGTTGTTGTAATAGTTAATGTTTATTATTATTATTTGTTGGTTTTGTTGAGGAATCCAGGTTTTGTTTATGGTGTTGTTGATGGGTTGGTCGGTCAGGAAGTAGTACGTATATCCAAAATAATTGATTGGTTGTTTGGTTGGTTGGATTTTGTGTACATTCAGACATTCAGATACGTTCGTTACAAAATCAATTGATTTTCATTTTGGGGATATATAGATTTTTTGTTTGTTGTTAGTTTCAGTGGTATACCCAGATACGTGTTCGAAAGAAAACACGTTTGTTTTTGTTATGGAAAAAATAATAAAGAAAAATAGTGTTTATACCATAAACTATAGTTATTTGGAGAAAATTGGTTTCAATTGCTTTATGTATATAAATATGTAAATATAATTACTTAATAATATAAAAAGGATTTTTATATTTTAAATTACACAGTATTTCCTGCTTGCCTCTTTAATTTCCTTTCATTTATATCGATAGAATTTGTGTCTTTTCAATTTCAAACTTACTTCAGTGGTGAATGCATCGGGTCTCTCATAGACGACTGTCTTGACCACCTCTTGCATGCGTTCTGGTGTCGGTTCCAGAACAGCACAATCAGCTATGCTCTTGGCTTCGCCAGCGGCATTGGTTGCTTTGACCATGTATTTGCCAGAATCGCTTATTTGGCCTGAATTGGAAGTGTGAATGAATATTGTAGGGGTGTGTGGGTTAATAATCAGAATATTTGTTTTTTTAATTAAAATTGAGATGGGATTAAACTTATATAAAATTTGTGGAATACTTACCCCTTTCAATGATCAAGGTATGAGTGTTGCCATTTTCAAGGAGTCTATGTTGAGATAAACCAGCCTCTGCCAACGGTTTGTCGTCCTTCATCCAGACGACCGATGGTGCGGGTAAACCAGTAACCTCAACTTCCATGATAATCTTTTCATTTTTCTTCATGACTTGGGCTTGCAAGCGCTTGCCGAAGACAGGTGGGAAAATGGTTTCTGAAAAAGAAAAACAAAACAACAGAAATAGAGAGGGAATTAATATAACAATTTAATTTGAAATTTTAAAAATTACAGAAATACTTTTCTCTCAAAAAAGGGTGGAAGTTCTCTTCTATAAATAAAATAAATGCACTTTTAAAATTCCTGAAACAGAAAACCTGCGCAATATTTCCTATCTACAGAAGAAATTTAGAATATTCTCTTTCTAGAAGTCATGTAATAGCAAAAGATATCTATGATATCTGAATATTTTCAATATATGGCTATGTTTTGATATAAGGGCCCCGTCAACTTTTCGGTAAGTTAAAGATCTTAGCTCAATTTTCAACATGTTCCAGTTCGCAATTTGGAACTTCGTTATTATGTTCATATTTTCATAGCTCTTCATATAAGAGACCCTGGAGTTTCATTTGAGTTCCCAAAACGACACATACATTTCTCAAGAATTTTCCAATCCTTGATCCATATTCCAGCCTCTCAAATATGACAATTTTTGGGGACCTGGACTCATTTTCCAGCTTTAATATTTGTAATTAGAAATTTAAAGTCTTCAGATGAAAAAGAGTCTCTTAAAAGGGTCCTGCCCTATTTTAGATAGTTTGCAAGTAATATGATGCCAAACGAAGTTGCAGTAATTTTTTTTCGCAATTTGAACTTCGTTGTTATGCCATTTTTTAAACAATGCTCTTCATAGAAGACACCTTGCAAATTTTAGGAGTTCCATTTTTGTTCTCAATATATTACAATATATTACATTTTTCGTGATAACGTACATCTGAAAGTCCTATCCTTTTCTAAATATTCTTAAATTCCTAGAACCATATTCGTGCCTGCCAAATTCGATGATTTTTGAGGTCCTATACTTATATTCCAGCTATAGAACCTGTAAGTCACAATTTATGGTTGTCAGTTGTCTTAGCTCCTCCCCAAAAAGGATCCTGTCCCATTTGTATACCATTCACCACACTGTGGTATATGTTTGTAACAGGCAAAAGGAAACGAGATAGACCCATGGTTCCTTTTGAGAATATGCATAGAATCACTTTCTGAGTCGATTTATGCATGTCCGTCCATCCGTCTGTCCGTTTGCTGATGGTAATTTGTAAAAAAAGTACAGGTCGCATTTATCATCCGAGTGGGATGAAATTTGGCACAGCTCATTTATTTGGCTCTAGGACGAACCCTATATATAAATTCGTCCGATTTAAGGTAAATGGTGCACCTAAGTCCCTATATATCTTTCGATTTGCACGGAATTTGGCATAGTGTACTGAATTAGGCCTAGAATGACGTACGTGATGTTTCGTGAAAATCGGTTCAGATTTAGATATAGCTCTCATATATATTTTCGTCCGATTTAAGGTAAATTGTGCGTCAATGTCCTTAAATATCTTTCGATATACACGAAATTTGGCATAGCGTACTTAATTGAGTCTATAATGATATGTGCTAAGTTTCGTAAAAATCGGTTTAGATTTAGATATAGCTCTCATATATATGTTCGTCCGATTTAAGGTAAATGGTGCGTCAAAGTCCCTAAATATCTTTCGATATGCACGAAATTTGGTATAGCGTACTAAATTAAGTCCAGAAAGATGTGCGCTAAGTTTCGTGGAAATGTGTTCAGATTTAGATATAGCTCCCATATATATTTTTGCCCGATTTAATGGAAATGGTGAACCAAAGTCTCTATATATCATTCGATTTGCACGAAATTTTGCATAGCGCACTGAATTAAGTCTAGAATGGTATGTGTTAAGTTTCGTGAATATCGGTTCAGTTTTAGATATAGCTCCCATATATATTTTCGTCCGATCTAATGTAAATGGTTCGCCAAAGTTCCTAAATATCTTTCGTTCAATTTCATGTCAATGTTCTTTCGAATAGGCGACGTCTATTAGGAGACTATGTAGAATATACCCAAAGTGGTGAGTCGGCCCAGTCCGACTTTACTACTTTCCTTACTGGTTTTTGTTATTTTGATGGGAAACAGCAGGTGTAGAGCGTGTGGGAAAGATAGCCAAGCGTTGGAAAATTTTCTATGCCACTGACCAGATTTTGCAAGCTTTTGAACTAAAAGGGGAAACACATAAGAGAACTTCAGGATTGTCATGTTAAGTCGGATTCATTTATTGTAAAAGAATAAAGGAAAACGGCGTGACAATTCATACAAAACCAATTTAACGTGCCAGGCTTGAATCATTGTCTGTGTTTCCACTTTAATTTTTGAGCACTAACCGACCTAAGTGGGTGTGAATGGAAAAGACTGAAGAACTTCACTAAGAACACAAAATTCTTGGAAAAATAGGGTGAGGAAATCTCAACATGTGTTTTTCTAACTTATCTTCCTCTCTAGAGCGCACAGCTGGCCTTTATACTGGCTTAAGTGTATGTCCTACTATTGGAGATGAGGGGTGGCGTAAATCACCCTCTTGTCAATCAAACCTAAGTTATTCCCACGAATGCTCCTTTCCACCAAAATCAATCAATTTCAAAATATGTTGTTAAAACCACCTGCCACAAGTTTTCAATTGAACAACAACAAACAACAACATATGGATTTTTGACACATTATGTCATAAGATTGGCTGTACAGTTGAAATTTTCATATCTACATCTACATCTAAATATATAAATATTTTTATTTATATTGCTTTCATACATTTTCTATAATAATTTGTATTATTCACAAACAAAACTATACACATGTATGCCAGACAGTATATGTGAAAGAGCAAAAGAAAAAAAAAAAACAAATTTGAATACAAATTTAACGCATCATCGACTGAACAGTTGGTTTCATTAAAAATTTATATTTCACAGAAGATGTTTAAAAATTGGAAACTTTTATGTCACTGTCCACCTCCATGAATTTTCCTCGATTTTTCTTTCTAAGTAAAAAAACGTAAGTGTGGGTAAAAGTGACATACATTTGGTTCTGATGTTGGATGGTGGTTGGTTGAGGGGGAACATTTCAAGGACATTTGTTTACATATACATCTTTAAGTTGTTAAAGTGGCCGATATTTTGAAAAAGAGAAACCTAAATATATTTGAATTAATTTTTACTAACTATAATACTGATGACGATTGTGCTTGTGCCTGATGATGATGATGATGATGCTGTTGATCCACAAAAACATTTCTGGGATCAAAAAACAAACAAAATGCTGGGCATCCAGTTGTGGAACATTGGCGCAATGCCATTATAGTCTTTTTAAATATTTTTGTTGTTTTAAATTTTAATGTCCAATGGTTTTTGTTTTTGGGAATCTAAGTCAAACAAATTCTTGGCGTCCAATGCATGGCAAATGGAAACCACTGTTTACATGAGACAATTTTGTTATCTCGTAACTATCAAGGTTAAATGCATTGAGCAGAAGATTGCCCAAAAATTCCAATGGAAGGCCATTGCTGAAAATGCCTTAAGAGACAGACAGCAAGTGTGGAATGTCTCCAACAATTTTTTCTTTTATCAAGAAAAATAATCTCATTCTATTTAGCAAATAAATCAAGTGGATTTTAAAATAATAATAACACCAAAATATTCAAGGCTATAAATAAAAAATGCTTAGAATTCATTAAAAGTTTCTACTGATCTATTTTAATTTTTGTTATTTGACTCGAAAGAGTATAAATAATCACTTAAAATCACTTTCAAATGATCACAAAAATTCAAATAACAAAAATTAATTTCAGCCGAGCACGGCTAGGGCTCGAACCTAGGTCCTCAGAGCAACACAGATGTTGCCAAGACCGCTTAACGTTCTGAGCCATCAACACTTCCAAAACGGTTGCGCAAAAACATGTGTATACCAGGAAGCAATTGTAGGTGTGTGGATTAATTATCCATCGCTACAACAAAAATCTGCTTTGAAAAGGACTGTTCCTAGAATGAAGACAAATGTCGAACTTTGACAAATTTGAATTTAATTCGCATATGCAAGTTTCGCATCAGGGCGGAATAAATACAAGTTATCAACGTACGACCTTTGTAAAGCCACATAGCCCAATATGCCTGATGAGCCGCTTAACCAACGGCGAAACGCGTCGCATAATGGTGGGTACGTAGGTTCTTCTCCTGGCTTTCCTTTTCATTGCAAAATTTAGATCATCAAGCTCGACTCGAAAGAGTATAAATAATCACTTAAAAAACTGATCTATTTTAGCTAATTGAAATTGGGAAAATGGGAACCAGTCAACGTCAACGATTTCGGACAGTCATGATAAAGAGTAATAATATGCCATGAAAACAATAATTTTTGTTAGTAGGATTTGAACCCGAGTAGAGCCATTTTGGTTAAAAAACCTTCACATTCCCAAAATACCGGATCATGGAAGGTACAGCTGTCCTAAAAAGTGGACCAATATCGATAATTTTTAGTAGGAATACGTATGATAACTCAAAATACCATCTACAGCCAATTCGATTGAAAAACATATCCAAAACCCCAAAATACTGAAATTTGAGAGGTAATTGTAAGGAGCTATCGTAAAAAGTAGACCAATATTCAGAATTTTTTGTTGTGAAATTTTACACCTGATGAAAATCAAAATACAAAATAACAAATTCGGATGAAAAAATTAAATACCTTCATTTTGGAGGTACCGTTATATGGGGACTATACTAAAGAAGGAACCAATATAGACACCCAATGATAAATCGAAATACCAAATTAAAGCCAATTCGCAAGAAAATATTCTGGCATTTGGGAGGTGCCGTAATATGGGGTCTATACTAAAAATGTGACCAGCAGTTACCAATTTTTTATTTTATTTTAAATTACAGTAAATTTGTTAGAAAACGAGCCAAAAACCCCAACAAAACGTGGAATGATATATCTCAAAACCAAATATCCTAGACGCAATTTCAATGAATGTACTAGGAATAAGTAGTCGAGAGGAAAAGTCGACTTTTTGCCTCTGACCAAAGAGTCGATTTTAGACTTTTCGATTTTAGCCTCTGACTAAAAAGTCGAATTTCGATCTTTCGAAATT